CCCTCACCCTCAGCTTGCTCTCTAGCTGCCTGAGAGGCAGGAGCCTTGGAAGGAGAACCCCCACGGTTCACTGGCTCTACCTGAAAAACCCCCTGGATCCTGCTTTCCAGGTCCTCATCCGGGCTGGCCCTGCTTGCCCCAAACCTCTGCATAGGATGGCAGGGCTGGGCTCGACCCTCCAGCAGGTGAGCTGCTGCCCCACTGAGCCCCTGCTTTCTTGTCTCATGTTGCAAATTCCATGACTTATGGGGCCCCAGATGCCACCTGGCAGGTCAGTGCTGAGCCTGGAGTGCCTATCTGCTCGGCCCATAGCAGATTCCTCTCTGTGGTCTCTCCCCACCTCAGCTGCCCCCTTGCCTGTCGGCCCAATGAGTCAGGGAGGTTATGTCTAGCTTGGGTAGGGTCCTTAAGACTTTAGGGTGTATAAGACCAGTGCTTGGGTGCCCTCCACGTTTTCCCAGGTCCTGGCAAGGTAGGGCCACCCATAGATGCTCCGCCGAGAAACCCCGGGGGTTGGAGAGGCCTGCTCACGTGGTTTCTGGCTCTTGGTCTTTGCTATCCACTCTGTTGGATTTCAGTCCCTGGCTTCACATTTGGCCCCAACACTTCTACACCCTCCCCTCCCCCTTCCCCCATCCCCCACCCTCATGGTGGCTGGAGGGCCGCTGTGATTCTAGCTTCTCTGCTCGGGTCTAAGTTCAGCAGAAGAGTGAGAGCCTTTCGTTGCAGCTCCCACTCTGATTGGACCACTTCAGGTCACACGCTCATTCCTGATCCTCTGTGGCTGTGAATGCCAGATGTTGATTGGCCAGACCTGAGTCACATGCTCCAATCCCAGATAGGTGGGGAGAGTTGGGAAAGGTGAATTCCCACATTAAAATCAGGGTGGCCCCCAGGTGCAGACAGCTCCCCACCCACCCCGGGAACTGAGCCTTAAGCTTCTGTGTGCACTCACTAACGACATAGGCAATGGGTCCATTTAAAAATCTTTTTATTATTAACATCATCTTCCCATTCAGCCAAGTGTCTGTCATGTATAAGGAATGTCGGTAAATATTCCATTTGAAGCTTCTTTGTACATCTTTCCATTGATAAATAAACTCTGAATTCACATAAAAAAGTTAAACTTAAATAACTCATATTTCCTTCTCTTGTAACAGGCATATATTGGCAAAATATAAATATTCTTGGACTCAGGCTTTGTTCTAAGTGAGGACAGTAATTCATCACGTGGTACAAGTATCGACAACAAAACCAAGAAATCGCTGGCCGGAGTCCTGGCTTGGACTAGCACTGAGGTGGGAAAGAAGATTCACATTTGGTTTCTGGGCCAGGGGTGGGGCAGGGGGGCGAGGAGGAGAGAACAGCTTTCTTTACAGCTCTGATAAAAATAATCTGTGCTGCCACGGAATTTTAACTTTGAGTATATTCTTCTACATGTGCGGATTATTTCCATAACCGTGTTACTTAAAACTCAGATGTCAACTAACAAGCTATGGCACATAATCCATGTTGAGCAACGTCAGTAGATTCAGAAACGGTCACTGGGCGGCCGAGGCCACAGGCGTGCACGCGGGAGAGCGATGAGGCGGGGTCGTCTGGCCAGGTCACTGTGGCCAGTCGCCCGTCTGCCCAGGGCCTCGGTGTGGCAGACCTGTCCCCTCGGGGCACCCCAGGTGGGGCCTCCGGGCCCGAGCGGCTGCGAGGCTGCCGG